CGCCGCCAGCGCCCCGCGGCGCCGCACACCCCCGTCAAATGGGAGTTAGGAGGAGGATGGGGCTTCCCATGGCTTCCCCTCTGGGCGGGTACGAAGCCGGCCACCCGCCCGCCCCGAGCCCGTGTCCGTCTCGCTGCTGAGCACTCCGAGTTAGGCTCCGTGCCGTGGACCTTAGCCCCAAGGAGACTGCTGGATCTTTGGGAATGCTGGGTTTGTTTTTTAAGGGTGGCGGATTTGAGACAGAGTCTCCTTACGCAACCCAGGCTGGCCTCGAGTCTCGATCTGTGCTGCTTAAAATAAGGACATTTTAGGCTGGGCGTGTGGCTCAGTGGTGCAGTACGTGCCTGGCCTACGCAAGCTCCCTGCATCCCAAGAACGGCACGAAACTAAAATGGACACTTTGTCAGAGACTATGAAATGCCAGTTTCGTTGGTGGTTTGCTGAAAACAAGCAACAACAATGTCTGACTCGATTTCTTTTAAATTAATCTTATTTATATTTTGTTTATATGGTACCGAGGAATCGAATCCAGGGCCTTATGCATAGTAGGCAAGCACTCTGCCACTAAGCCACATTCCCTGCCCCATATGACTCAATTTCTAGGAGAAAAAATTGTGGGAAAGGAAATATTTTTCTTTGACTTGAACATATCAATTAGCAATTAGGACGTTAAGAGGGGTCTTTTAGTAACCATAAACACATTTAAAAAGCCAGGTGCTGCTGGTTCACACCTGTAATCCTAGCTACTCCAGAGGCTGAGATCTGAGGATCATGGTTGAAAGCCAGACCTGGCAGGAAACGCAATGAACCACCAGAAAACTGGAAGTGGAGCTGTGGCTCCAAGTGATAAAAGTGCTGGTCGGAGGTGGCGTTGTAGCTCAAGTGGTAGAGCGCTGGCCTTGAGCTGAAGAGCTGAGGGACAGCGCCCAGACCCAGAGTTCAAGCCCCATGACCAACCAAAAAAAAAAAAAAAAGAGTGCTAGCCTTGAGTGAAGAATCTCAGGTACAGCTCTCAGGCCCAGAGTTCAAGCCCTGTGATGGATCAAAAAAGAAAGAAAAACATGTCTTTTGGTATTTAGAACGAAACAGTGGACCTGGTCAGCTGTTTAGAAGTATGAGAAACTTTTAAAGCAGTCATACAAAATAATTAGAGGCAGAGTTCTAAGGCTAATGGTTCTAACTCAGCCCTGGCGGGAAAGTCTTTGAGACTCTTCATCTTCAATTAACTACCAAAATGCTGGATGTGGAGCTGTGGCTCAAGTGGTAGAGCACTAACCTTGAGTGAAAAGCTAAGGGCTGAGTTCAGACCTTAGTACCTGCACAAAAAAAAGAAACCTGCATTAAAAAAAAACAAAGGGTAGAGGGCTTGCCTTGCATGCATGAGGCCCTGGGTTCAATTCCTCAGCACCACATAAGCAAAAAGAAAAAACCCAGAAGTGGTGCTGTGGCTCAAGTGGTAGAGGTGAAGGACAGTGCCCAGGCCCAGAGTTCAGGTCCCACAACCGGACCCAAAAAATAAAAACAACAATAACAACAACAAAAAACAAAACAATCAGAATGCAAACACAGAAAGAGGGTTGAAATGACTGAAAGAAGGGATCATCTTTTCTTGTATCCTCACTGTATGCTTTATATGTCATGTTGTGGGAGATACTGGGATCTTAGAACTGTACCTTTTATGTGATTAGCAGTTTATTCTGAACATTTCACCCTTATTCCATACCTACTGTCCATTTACATAAACATTTCATTTCTTTCTTTCTTTTTTTTTTTTTTGGTCAGTCGTGGGGCCTGAACTTGGCCTGGGCACTATCTCTCAGCTCTTCAGCTCAAGGCTAGTGCTCTACCATTTGAGCTACAGTACCACTTCCAGCTTTTTCTGTTTATGTGGTGCTGAGGAATTGAACCCAGGGCCTCATGCATGCAAGGCAAGCACTCTACCACTAAGCCGCCTTCCCAGCCCACCCTTAAAATTTCTATCTACACAGAAAGTCTTTAAAAAGCTATACTCTGAAGAGATCCCACAAAAACAAAACAAATCCAGGAGAATGCCAAATTTTTAGATTTGGAGAATAGTTTAGAGGTTGGAAGTGTGGCTCAGGTGGTAGAGTGCTAGCAAATGGGGTATGCCTTGGTAGTGTACTGTGGTATGTGGGAGAGAGATATAAACGGTAGTTAAGAAGGTTATAGTTAAATTTGGCTTGAAGAAGCAATTAGTTTTCCACCAAGGCAAAGCCCCTGCTGGTTTTATTAGGGAAGGATGTTATGTATCTCTCTCCTTGTCATATCTGAGAAACGATGCCAGACTCCTTTTATGCTTTCAGCTACAAAAGACCCCATTGCAGTAGAGAGAGCCAACCTGTTGAACATGGCAAAGCTGAGCATCAAAGGACTCATTGAATCTGCGCTAAGCTTTGGCCGCACTTTGGACTCGGACTATCCCCCTCTGCAGCAGTTCTTTGTTGTAATGGAACACTGTCTGAAACATGGTCTTAAAGGTACTAGAATTTTCCAAAAAATTATCATACACTTTAGAATTCCTCCTTTTTATCTTAAATGTCCTTGAAAATGTGTATTTGAGGCCATAATTCCTGTTACTTTACAAGTGTAAATATTGAGTGGATTGATTTTGAAAGGAAGTATTACTAGTCTGTTTCCTCACAGATGATCTTCAGAAAGTACTTGATGTTACTGTTGTGTTTAAAGCTATCTGAGGTGAGAGATGTGGGTCTATGATAGACTGCCTCATGTGTGTCACACCCTGGCCTCCCACCAACACCACAGAACCAGCCAGTTGCATGTTATTTACTTAAAAAAAATTTTTTTTTTGTTTATTTATTTTGTATTTTGGTCGGTCCTGAGGCTTGAACTCTGGGCCTGGGCGCTGTCCCTCAGCTCTTGAGCTCAAGGTTAGCGTTCTACCACATGTGCCACAGCTCCACTTCTGGCTTTTTCTGTTTATGTGGTGCTGAGGAATCCAATCCAGGGCCTCATGCATGTGAGGCAAGCGCTCTACCACTGAGCCACCTTCCCAGCCCCAGGATTTACTTTTTTTTTCAACATGTACCCTGAACTGTTTTCTAGGATAATTATACAGTTATTTTCAGTTTTTGTTTTTTGCCAGTCCTCAGGCTTGAACTCAGGGCCTGGACAATGTCCCTGAGCCTCTTTTGCTCAAGACTAGCACTTTACCACTTGAGTCACAGTGTCATTTCGGGCTTTTTCAATATACTGTTATTTTCTATTTTGTGCTTGTGACTTTCTCCCCAAAGGAAAATTTGCCTATCTGAGCAATGCATATGATAGGTACATTGTAATTTTATCTGTAGAAGATCTAGTCATTAAGACCAGTGTCAGAATAAAGTGAAAGTAATCCTGAACTTGATATGGTATCATACCTTACCATTAAGTTATACCCCAGCCCCTAAAAAATGTATACACATACATACATACATAAATACATACATACATATATATATATATATATATATATATATACCAGTACCACCAAATATATATAAATAAATAAATAATATATATATATTTGGTGGTACTGAAGTTTAAACTTAGGGCTATGTACTTGCTGGGCAGGTGCTCTAGTGATTGAGCCATGCCATTAATTCTTTTTGCTTTATTTATTTAGCCAGTCTGGGGGCTTGAGCTCAGGGCCTGGACACTGTCCCCATGCTTCTTTTTACTCAAGGCTAGCACTTTACCACTTACTTGAGTCATAGCTCCCCTTCTAGCATTTTGGTAGTTAATTGAAGATGAGTCTCATATACTTTCCTGCCAAGGCTGGCTTTGGACAGAGATCCTCTTATCTAAGCCTCCTGAGTAGGGAGGATTACAGGTGTGAGCCACTGGCATCTGACTTTACTGGATAATTTAAGTTAGAAATTCTAGGACTTTTCTGCCAGGGGTGGTCTAGATCTTGAATCCTCAGATCTCAGCCTCCTGAGTAGCTGGGATTACAGTTGTGAGCCCCCAGCTCACAACATTCTGCATATATTTGGCATGAAAAAATGGACGGCACACTTTTCTGGTATAACCAAAAATAGCAGGAGGGACAACAGGATCCTGATTGAACAGGTTACTCACCAATGAGGCTATGCAGTAGTTAAAAGAATGAAAAGGTCTCCAAAAAATTGTACAGTTAGAAATGTTGAAATAAGATAAAGTTGTTACACTTGTACATGTTGGAATTGTGTACATTATATTTTCTTCTTTCCAGTAAGAAAGTCATTTTTGAGTTATAACAAAACTATTTGGGGCCCTTTGGAATTGGTGGAAAAGCTCTACCCAGAAGCAGAGGAAATAGGAGCCAGTGTCCGGGATTTACCTGGTCTTAAGTAAGTAATCTTATTATAGTTGCTCATCCTTAATCACAGAGATGCATTTATTGCCCCTTTAAGTATCTTACAACTGGTACTGAGCTAGTGGCTCATGCCTATAATCTTATTCAGAAGGCTGAGATGTGAGGATCACAATTTGAACCCAGTCTGGGCAGGAAACTCCCTGAGACTCTCTTTTTTTCTTTTTCATATATATATATATATATATATATATATAT